AGGCTGGGGGCGGAGCCTGTGAGCTGAGCTGTCCTGCCAGGCTGGGGGCGGAGCCTGTGAGCTGAGCTGTCCTGCCAGGCTGGGGGCGGAGCCTGAGGATCTGCTGGGCCAGGACGAGTAACACTGGGATGCACTGACTTCTAGGGATACCAGCTTGTAGGGCGTTTTCTAAGTCAATCACTTGACCTAGCAATCATGAGTTTTAGCTACAAAATGGCAACAACAGGACCCACTTCAGAGGGCTGTGGAGAAGAATCAATAATATAAATTAGATGAAGTACTTAAACAGACAGCCTCATCTTTTTTCTGAAGAGCTGCTAGTAGGTTTGAACTGCCAACCTTGTGGTTAGCAGCCCAATGCCTAACCCATAGCATCACTAGGGTTCCTTGAGTTCTGTATGTTGTTAAGTTCCACTGAGTTGGTTCCAACTCACAGCCACCCTGTATCCAGTGTCTGAGGTTGTAAATCTTTGCAGGAGCAAACAGCCTCATCTGTCTCACACTGAGAGACTGGTGGTTCACATTTCAGTGCTTATCTTACAGAATGCAGTGTTCCTGAGTTCTATATAATTCTCCCTGATTTCCCCAGGGTCTGAAGCTCAGAATCTAAGCCCCCAGAGCTGTTTTAAGCTTTCACACTCCTGAACTCCCAAGGGTCTAAGTTTCTCATGCTTATTGTCCACAATTCCAAGCTATCACGTATCTACGAATCAAAACCAAATACTAGTAAGTTACTGATTCCTTCCTAAGTGCCACCGCATGAGAGACACTCGCCACAGATCACCTCATTCCATCCTCATAACCCTAGAAGGCAGGGATCTTTATGGTGACCATCCATTCTACAGTTGGGAAACAGAGTCCACATGCTAACCTACATTTACCATCACTTCTAAGACCCTGTGAGGGTGGGACTGTAACTGTGATTGATTTCCCGGTTTTTAGACTGAGCTTCTGAGGACTATACAGTCTGAGGCAGAAAGTTGGATCAGACCCCAAGACAGGATTACATCTTTTGCAGCATCCCTCACACCTCAACCTCCAGCACAAAATGAAAATACAGGGTTCTTTGTCCAAAGTATTAAGAATTTAAATAATGACAACTAGGCATTAAATGGGAGTCCTGGTGTGGCGCTGTGGGTCAATGTGCCAGACTGCAAAGCTGTTTAAACTGCAAGGTTGGTGGTTCAAACTCACCAGCTGCTCTTTGGAAACCCTATACAGGGCCCTATGGGTCAGAACCGACTCGACGGCACTCAACAAGAAGGTATTAAATGAACCCTGACCTTTAGAAGTGCAGAACCTGAGAGACTATACAGGTCACACGCTAGCCCTGCCCTGACATGACAGGGACCTTTGCTGATTCTGAAGGACCATGTCTTAATATCCAGTGCTGTTGCAACAGAAATTCCAGACATGGGTGGCTTTAACAAACACATTTATTTTTCTCAGTATGTTGTTGTTGTGAAGTACCATGGAGTTGGTTCTGACTCATAGTGACCCTGTATAGTTTCCAGGAGCTGGTAGGTTTGAAATGCAGACCTTGTGGCTTGCAGTCCAGTGTTTATTCTATAGTGCCATACCAGGAGCCTCCTCAGTTTAGGAGGCCACAAGTCTGCATTCAGGGGCGCCTGCTTTAGGAGCGAGGTCTCTCTGTTGGCACTAGAAAAAGGTCCTTATCTCTTCAACTTGTTCCTTGGTTCCTTGGAGATTTCTATGTGGCATGGCATCTGTCTTCCCCCAACTGTGCTTGTCTGCTTGTGTTAGCTTTTTTTTATCTGAAAAGAGGTTGACTCAAGACATACTTTATATTAATACTGTCTCATTTATGTGACAAAGAAAAAACAAACAAACCTCCAAATGGGATTATAACCATGTTGTTGTTCAGTGCTGTGGAGTCAGTTCTGACTCATAGTGACCCTGTACTGGGTTTCCTAGGAGTGGCTGATGGGTTTGAGCTGCCAACCTTAAGGTTAACAGTCCAGTGTCTGCCCTATAGCGCCACACAGGACTACAAACCACAGGTATATTGTTAAGTGCCGTTGAGTTGGTTCTGACTTATATTGACCTTGTATAGGGTTTCCAAGGAGCAACTGATGGATTTGAACTGCTGACCTTGTGGTTTGCAGTCCAGTACTTATCCTACAGCGCTACACCAGGGCTTCAACTATAGGTATCAGAATTAGGATTTACAATACATATTTGGGGGGAGCACAGAAATATGAATTGATATAAACCATAATGGGTAATTCGCCAAGTATTTATACAGCACCCGCATGGTGTCAGACACTTGTCTAGGCATTGGGAACAAACAGTGAGAAAACCAGACAAACCAGAGATGCTGCTCTTGTGGGGCAGACAATCTAGGGGGAAGACACGGTAAAGGGGTCCATCCTGCACTCTGGCTTACATACTACACAGAAGACAAAGTAGAAAAGGTATTGTAAGTGACCATTTTAAATGGAAAAAAACCACACAGAAATAAACAGCTGTCATCATTCTGTTTATTTCTGGCTCCTGTATGTCAGAGCAGAACTCTGCTCCATAGGACTTCACTGGCTAAAGTTTTCAGAAGTAGATAGCCAAGCCTTTCTTGAGGTGCCTCTGGGTGGGCTCAAACCACGAACCTTTTGGTTAGCAGCCGAGCACATTAAATGGTTGCAACAACTTAGTTTTAGCTGTTGTTGTTAAGTGCCCTTGAGTTGGTTCTAACTCATAACAACCCTGTATAAAGTTTCCCTGGAATGCCTGGTGAGCTGGAACCGCCGACCTCGTGGTCCTAAGGAGGTTAAAAACTGGAAAACCTTCAATGATCAAATGGCATTTCTGTAATAGGGAGTAGGGATAGCATAGTGGGTACATGGGGCCTGGTGGGAGATGAGAGGCTTTGGGAAGAGGGTGGCAAGGATGCAGAAGATAACAGACTGTGAGGATGGAGGCAGTGAGGTCTGTTAACAGCCCGACCTGCCTCCAGCTCTCCTTGGATCTCTTCTACACCGAGGACGAGATCTACGAGCTTTCTTACGCCCGGGAGCCTCGTTGTCCCAAGAGTCTGGTAAGACCCGGTCCCTGACCTCTGACTTCTAGCCTGAGCCTATTCCCTGGCTAACTGTGCTCCTCTGTCCCACCCCAGCCCCCCTCCCCCTTCAAAGCACCCTTGGTGGTGGAGTGGGCCTCCGGTGTGACACCCAAGCCCGACAGGGTCACCCTGGGCCGGCACGTGGAGCAGCTGGTGGAGGTAAGGAGGGGACTGTGGCTGGTAGAGGCTGTCTGGGGAGCCCCGACCCTGGAGGAGGGGCCTAAGATTGCAGGGCTCCTACCTGGACAACCTGACTCTCTGCTCGTCTGAAGTCTGTGTTCAAGAATTATGACCCTGAAGGCCAAGGAACCATCTCTCAGGAAGATTTTGAGAGACTCTCTGGCAACTTCCCCTTTGCCTGCCATGGGCTACACCCACCCCCCAGCCAGGGGTGAGTGGTCCTGACCGACTCCTGGGCCCCCAAAGATGAGGATACTGGGGATGTCTGGACTATTGGGCCTAAGGAAGAAGGGACTGAGGGTTCAGACTCCTGGGTCTGAGGGAGAAGGGGGTTGGGGGTCCGGACTCTTGGGGTCTAGCCATACTGAAGTGCCACCTCTGCCCCCAGGCATGGCTCCTTCAGCCGAGAGGAGCTGACGGGTTACCTCCTCCGGGCCAGCGCCATCTGCTCCAAGCTGGGTCTGGCTTTCCTGCACACCTTCCATGAGGTCACCTTCCGCAAGCCCACCTTCTGCAACAGCTGCAGTGGCTTTGTGAGCACTTTGCTCCACCTCCTCTTCCTAGGGTCCTTCTCCCCTGGAGTACCCCAACTGCTCCCAGCCAGAGCCCCGAAAACCAGCCTTACCCTGGAATCTCCAAACCCCAGCTCATCCCAAAGAATCCTCCAGATTTCAATAATCCCCAAATTTCCTATAAACCCTAACCACTGGATAGCCCCTACCTCCAGGACAACATCAAAAACCCCGTGTTATCTACAGACCTCAGTATATCATATCCAAACTCAACTCCAGAGAATTCAAACCCTGGGTAATTTCCACATCCAAGCTGAGACTATTTCACAAGCCTCGGGTTATTTCCCAAACTCCTGCATTCACTCACCAAGTAGTTACTGAGCCCCTACGGTGTGCCAGGCCCACTTCAGGGCTCTGGGAATACAACAAGAAATACGACAGACATGATCCCTGTTCATAGAAATGACAGTTTATCCATTTCCTCAATCATGGGACTTTAATGTCCTAGATGATGCCCCAAAGATATCACCTCCAAATTCCTGCAATTTCCAAATCCTAGGTAAGCCCCAATAAGGTCTCAGAGAATTTCCCAAACCTGCAAGGTCTCCATACCATAGGAATAGTTTCTAGGAAGACATACACCCAACCCCTAGGCCTTCTTCCTCTAGCCTGGGTAACCTATTCTGCTTTCTCTTCCCAGCTCTGGGGGGTAACCAAGCAAGGCTACCGCTGCCGGGGTGAGTATGTCCTCAGCAAAGGGAGGAAATCCAGGATTTGTAGGCTGGGGGACACACTGGGTCCCTGGCCACTAACTTCCACTACCCCCCCCCCCAGACTGTGGGCTATGTTGCCACAAACACTGCAGAGACCAGGTGAATGTGGAGTGTAAGAAGAGGCTAGAGGTCAAGGGCGATGTGAATTTAGGAACTCCCATCCCGCCCATGCCAGCATCCCATGCCAGCTGTGGTAAGACCCAGGGTGTGGCCCACCTGGGAAGGGGGCTTGGTGAGTGAGGACCAGTTCCCAGGTCATAAGGTCCTTCCCATCATGCCTTGTGTCCCTTCGAATCACTATCCCATTAGCAGGCTCTGAGGAAAATCTCCCTGACACACTATCCCGGGAATCCGAGACTGAACCTCATCTGTGCCATGTTTGGACCCAGACGGAGGCCCCACCCCCTTCCTGGGAGCCAGAGATGGTGAGAAGGAATGGCCCCCATCCTTAGCTGGATACAGGGGAAAACAGGTTGTTTTCCTAGGCAAGCTCAGACACATCTGGGGAAGCTTGCTGCGGCTGCTCGGTACCATGAAGTCAGTTTCAACTCATAGCAACCCTGCATGGGGTCTCAGAGGCTGTAAATCTTTACAGGAGCAAAAAGCTTCACCTTCTTCCCACGGAGTGGCTGGTGGATTTGAACTACTGGCCTTGCGGTTAGCAGCCCAACACGTAACCCACTACGCTACCAGAGCTTTTCCTGGGGACACCTAGGAAAGTAAAACTGTTTACACATTCTCAGTTGCTTGCGTTAGGAGGGTAGAGTTAGTGGCTCATTTTTATCAATGACAGAAAATTAGAAATTTAAGGTTAGTCACTAATAAAACAGAAAAAAAGGATTTAGGGGAAGACAAAAAAGATATCAAAACTACAATAAACATTAGTGCAGTAAATTCTATTGTTCAAAGGCAGAGATTCTCAGATTGGACAGGAGACAGTCATTCACCCAGTCGATGTAAGTTTGGGTAAGCCACTGCTCTTGGCACCTGACACCCCTTCCTTCTTCCAGGTCGCTCCACCATCCCCCCCAGTCTTCCATCCCCAATTCCTAGGCACTGTCTTGATCTCTCTTTCCTCCCCCTTGCTCTCACAGGCACCAAATCCTGTTATTCTGCTCTGGCCAGAACTCCCAAGTCCACCGCCTCTTTCCCATCCACACTGCCTCTGTTAAAAGTTTCATTTCTTACCCCAAGAGCAGGTTCTTGTTTTTTTTTTTTGTTTGTTTGTTTTTCACAGTAGCAGCTATCAGTCATGCCCCCTTTTCCTGACCACATAGTATTTGTGCAGCTCCATTAGATACGTTTAGACATAACCATTGGCTTACCAATGCCTTGGAATCTCCATTTTACAGATGAGGAGACTGAGACTCAGTGAGGTTAATTAAGCTGCTCGTCCAAGGTGACAGAGCTCGTAAGTGTTGGAGACGGGACTCAAACCTTGATCTTCTGTCTGCCTCTAAACTCAAAGCTCCTGACTGCTATTTCCAGGAGACCTGGTGGCGCTGTGAGTTAGGAGCTGGGCTGCGAACCACCCGTTGCTCCATGGGAAAAAGATGAGGCACATCTGTTTCCGTAAAGACTGACAGTCTCGGAAACCTTAATGAGCGGTCTACTCTGTTCCATCGGGTCGCTGATGGCAGTACGTTTGGGCTTTGGTTTTAGACACTATTCTAAGCTGACCATCAGAATGGGTCAGGTGGGTAGCGTTCCAAGCTTCTGGGTTTCAGTGAGGGGAGATGAGGAGGCTAAGAAAGGGGTGGAGTTAGGGACCCTGTAAACAAGAGTCAGAGCATGCCCCTCCTCTGCTCAGAACCCTCCCAGGGCTCCAAGTCACTCAAAGGCCAGAGTGCTTGCTGTGGCCCACGACATCCCCAGATCTGCCTGTGTCACCTCTGTGACCTCACCTCTCACTGCTTGCTCCCCCCACTTCAGTCACACTGGTCTCCTCAGGGTCCTTCAACATGCCCCAATGTACTCCTGCCCCACCACCACTGCACTGGGTCTTCCCAGACACCCACACGGCTCCTACTTTACTTAGGACTTTGCAAAAGGGTAACCTTCTCAGGTCCAAAGCTGCCATCCCCCACAACCCCGAATCCCCCTCCTGCCTTCATTTTTATCCATAGTAGTGACCTCCCTATCTGAAAATGACGCATTTGACCTCTTTATTGTGTCCAATGTCTGCCCCTCCCCACCAACGTCAGCTCCAGGAAAGCAGAGATTTCTGTTGGTCTCTTCCACTGCTGCGTGTCCCATGCCTGGGACCTGATAAATAATCGGTCGCATGTCTGAATATCTCTTTCCCCATGCCCACAGGAAGGAACAGAGGTGGTGCTGAAGAGCAAAGGACTTTGCCAGTCAGAGCAGCAGGATCCTGTCAAGACTGAAGGGACAGAGACCCCCTCATCCTCCTCCAACCTGAATGCTCGTGACCAAGCCCCCCCAGAGACATGTCCTACAGGTGTCACGGATTAAATTTATTTTCTGAAGGACATGGCCCTTGGTGTCCAGTGGTAGATGGGGTAAGAGGATGTTTGGGACTTTGGGAGCAGGGGATCTGGTGTCAGGTACTTAGCTGTTGTTATTAAGTGCCATCAAGTCGATTCAGACCCACAGCAACCCCATATAGGGATTTCCAAGGAGTGGCTGGTGAACTTGGACCACTGCCCTTGAAGTTCAAATGACTTTGCAGTCTGAGATGCCCCCAAACTGATACCTCCACAGATGCTCCTCAGTGTCCTTATCATCATGGAGGGAGAAGCCCACCGGTACAAGCCCTCCTTTACTTCTTCTTGCGGGCTCGGCACTGGCGGCCTGTCTTCCACCTGTCTGTGCCCTCTCTTCGGCTCTGCCAGCTGGGCATGGGAGGCTCCAGCTCATTGGGACGACCCCCCCGGTCTGGCATACTGCCCATAAGCACCTGAGGGTTGATTAAATGTGTATTTCAGAGAAGATGTATGTTGTACAAAGGAACCAGAAAGCAAAGGAAAAACAAAAGGTTGGAAAGACAAGGCAGATGCTTACTATTTGGGTATAGTAGCTGCGAGGGTAGGGATTGGACTGCTGATGACAGAGGGCAGGGACATTCAAATGGGACCCCAAGGCCCTCAGCAACAGGCCCAAGTCCCCACTCGTTTTCTGGAAAACACCTCAACTTTTGTCTATTTCCTATGTGGGGTTTTGAATAACATTTTCAGCAAACCAGTATTTTTTTCCTAATTGTCATTTATGCTCCACTTGTAATTTTACTGCCTTAACAATTTCCCACTTTTTAAAAAACTCACTTTCTGTCCCCCCTGAAGTTAAATTTTGTCTTACTCTTTGCTATGCTGGACTTCATTCTTTAATATATGTTCACAAACTATAAGACTATCAGAAGGACATGTGACTATATATACATCATCATTTAAACAAAGGCTTTTTGTAGTCAACTATAAGGGGGGAGTCCTGAGGCCAGGGACCTGGGCAGAAGAGGACAAAGCTGGACCAGGTGCCTACCTTGTTGATAGCACAGCAGGTCCCCTGGCGGACAGTCACACTGGTGGCTGGGACGAGACGAGACAGGTCAGCTCGGGCAGCCAGGACATGAGCAATGGAAACATCTGATTCTGGGGTCAGCACCTCCCGAATTGGGGTCAGCACTGCTTTCATGGCCTCTCCCTGGGCCTGGGGGTGGGGATGGAGATAGGAATGGAAATGGTACCCAAGACCTCACTCCCAAGCCAGTCAATCTATTATCTTGAAAGCATCCCTTCCTCACTTGGGTTCTCACACCCCCTATCTCTAATAAAGGGAAACACTCTCACCTTAGAACTGGGACTTCTAGAATGACCTGGCGGGGGGAGAGGCACTAAGGTTCTATAAGCCCCAAGCCTCACAAGATGATAAAATGCCCTTGACCTCAGAACATGCCAAAAGTTATGCTTCTGGTTCTTTGGTCTTTGGCCTCTTTCTTGCACTTGAAGCCTCCACAATGGTTCTCCCCCCTACCTTTGCCCGGTCACTCCAGTGGAAGGCCGATATTGTGAGGTCCAGTCGCCTGATGAGAAGGCAGCGGCGACAGCGGTACTGATCTCGTAGGCTTTGCGACAGTGGCTCCAATGCTTCCTGGGGCGGAGGGGAATGCTCAGTCATATCAGGGCTCCCCCTCACCCTTCATACCTGGGTGAGGGCGTTGCTGGCACACAGCCAGATACTGTCTTACCCATCTGGGTGCATCAAGTGGTGAGGTGAGCAGGGGCTGCATGGACCCAGGGGGCAAGGCAGGCAGAAGCTCGTAGATCTGATGGGAGGAGTTAGAGGCTGACTAGGGCAGAAACTGGGGAGCACGGTGGCTCTGTAGGAAAAGTACTGGACTGTAATCCAGAAGGTCAGCGGTTCAAGCCCAATAGCCGCTCTGCAGGAGAAAAATGAGGCTTTCTGCTTCCACAAAGATTTATAGCCTCGGAGACCCTGTACAGAGTTGCTATGAGTTGGAACTGACTCGATGGTACTTAACAAGGGCAGAAACCGGTGGACCTCCCCAGGGATCCATTACCCACTGCCACGAGGGTGCACACAGCAGAAGCAAGAAGGTGGTCACAAACCAAAAAGAAAAAAAGCCCACGGCCACTGAGTCAATTCTCAGTCATAAGAACACTATGGACAGAGTACAACTCCTCCACGGGGTTCCCCAAGGAGCCGTTAGTGGGTTCCAACCACAGACCTTTCAGTTAGCAGTGGAATGCTTAGCCTACGGCTCCATCAGGGCCCCTAAGGTGGTCTCAGCTCTAGGAAAGCATGCCTGCGGTTGGGGCACTCCTGCCAGAGCTGCTTTCAGAAAGAGCCCCCCACCTCTAAGAAGTGCGGGTAGCCAGGGTGAGGAGAGGATTCTTGCTCTCCACCTTGGCATGCAATTCCTGCAGCAGCCGGCTGGCAGGGGTCCCTGGAGCTGGTCTGGGTAGCCCCAGGGCTTGGAGGGTAAAGGTCAGTTCCTGGACCATGCCAGCTCCCTCTTCTGTCCCTTCTCCAAGGAGCTGCTCAGGGCTGGGGGCCGGTGGATGATGCCAGTGCAGGAGGCGCGCAGCCTGAAGCTCAGAGCAGAGAAAGTCTACGAGGAGGGAACAAACCCAAGTGGTGCCACCAGCGGCGGCTCTACAGAAAGCAATTCTTTTTCAATTGCTGAGTGATTTAAGTGGAATGGCCCATAGAAACTGCTTGCTTATTACCATCCCCCCAAGCGGCGTCCAGTTGCCTTTCCTGCCGTATCAGATCTGCCTCTAAGGAGAGCTGCCAACTCCACCTTAGACTAGACCTTAAACTTCCCAGTCCTAGTCCCGCCCACTTAGGGTTCAGCTCCAGAATAAGCCCCACCCACTTTGAGACCCAAACCCTGCCTCCAAACTCAAACCCAACCCACTTTCTAGCTATCAATCTTTCATTACTTTCCCCTCCGGTTTCCACCACCTCCTTCACACCCATCTCGGAGGCCTTTTTCCGCCCCAATATTCTGACCCAACCCACCTTGGACCAGCTTACTTCCCAATTCTGACCCTACCCCCGATCAAAACTGGTCTCCACTCCACTACTCTGAGCCCGCCCGCCCACTTCCGCATTCCGACCGGCGGATGCTCACGCAGCAAACGCAGTCCTGCGCCCGGCTCCAGCAGAGCGGCTGCTAAGTCTGCGCCGGACAGCGAGCGGTAGGGGCAATGCAGCTCGCGCAGCTGGTTTCCCAACTGCCGCAGGAATTCTTCCGTGTCAGGACCTGCAGGATGCCGGCGACGTCGGGGCGCTATCGGCGACGGCGGTGGAACCCGGGGCTCCAGGGCTCCAGCCCTCCCACCCTCCTGCTCCGTACGTACCGTCACTCCGCTCCTCGGCACCCTCCTCCTGTCCCTGCTTCAAGGCTCCTAGAGCTGCCAGCTCCGCCACCAACCGCACGCACAATGCCCTGAAGTCTGGGCACCGAATGCCTTGCGATGCCGCCCCCAGGAAATCCCCATACCTACGGGGGGAGGTCAGCGAGAATGCCCCTCCGTCCCACTCCTGAGGACAGCCCCTCAACTGCCCCGCTTCCTCCAACAATAACTCCTTACCCTAAAGCCAGCAGGTCCTGGGCCATTACGGCCCTCTCTCGCATTTCCACCTCCGCCTCCTCCATAAGAGCTTCGCCTGCTAGCCGGAGTGAGGCTCCGCCCCCGGAACGGCGTGAACGGACCAATCAGCTTCTTCTCATGAAGACGCTGCTGCCTTCCAATTGGTTCAGAAGAAGATAGCCCGCTCCCAAGCCCATCCGCTCAGAAACCTAGAGCGCTGCTCTTTGAATAACCTGTCCTGGAAACACCCTCTGGTGCGTCGAAGTCCAGAGGGTGTGTTCTGGGTGTTGGTGCTGAGAGGGTATTACTTAAAAGCCACTTCTGTGTGCTTTTCCTCAGCCTTCTCATTTGCCCTCTACCCTTAAGGCATATCAGACCAAGTATTGTTCTCCCAGCTCGTCTCAAATCCAGAAATTTAATTTGGAGGGATGCAGGAAGCCAGACTGTCTCATCATCACTCATCTACCCCAGAAGAGCTAGCTCCTCCTGGCCCCGCTGGGCCTTCACGTCCTCCCTCCCCAGGCCTTGGAGCAGGTGCAGTATTCTGCCATAATTCGTGGGTTGCACCCGAAGAGTCAGGCCCACGGTCTGATTCCATTGCTTATCACTTCTGTGTTCTGGCCAATTTGTTTTCCCTTCTGTATAGCGAGGATAATAATAGGCATCCTCTCCATATTTTCTAAAGCTTTATACCACTTCGATTTTACAAAAGACCTACCTTATTACCTAGTTTCGCTAACTGAAAGAAATTCAGGAGAGGATCTTTGCAGTCAGCTGTTAAAGAGGCAGCCGGCTCCTCACAGGAAGAGTGTCATCGCAGACATAGTTCAAAGGTATGGTGGCTTGATGCTTTACATCAGAGGTGGGGAACCTTTTTCCTGTAAAATTTGTAACATCATTTATGGACCATACAAAATTATCAATTAAAATTTTGCTTGCAAAAAAAAAAAAAAAATTTGCTTGCTATATTTGGTCAAACTTTTAACTTACTCACCCCTAATAAGGAGCTCTGGTAGCGTAGTGTTTAAGAATCCGGCTGTGAACTGCAAGTTGGAAACTACCAGCTGCTCCGCGGGAGAAAGGTGAGGGTTTCTGCTCCCGTAAAGATTAACAGCCTTGGAACCCTGTACAGGGTCTCTATGAGTCTGAACCAACTCCACAGCACATAACAACAACAACAATGTGATGGTGTGGTGCTGTGGGATAATGTACAAGGTCGGTTTGAACTGCAAAGTCAATGGTTTGAGTTCACCTTTACAGGGCTGCTATGAGTCGGAACCGACTCAATGGTGCTTCGCAGCCACATGTGATGATTAGAACTGCAATTGCCTTGGCAGGGCCAGACCAAATGATTTCACAGACCAGATGAGCCAGATGTTCTCCACCCCTGCTTTAAAGCATATAGCCTATCACTGCTATTTTCATAACTGCTATTAAAATTATTATTCCAGGCTCTGTACCATAAACAATAGACTGTGAACCACAAGGTCAACAGTTTGAACCCACCAGTTGCTCCTCGGGAGAAAGATGAGCTTTTCTGCTCCTGCAAAGATTTACAGCCTTGGAAACCTTATGCAGGATCACTATGAGTTGGTACCGATTCAACAATCTATTCCCTGTTCAATCCTGGTTCCCCCATGCCAGTTGCCCTTAAGTTGACTCTGACTCATTGGAGACTTCCCTGTGTGTCAGAGTAGAACTGTGTCTGTATGGTTTATAGTAACAGATAATTCAACAGTTGATTGCCAGGTCTTTGTTCCAAGGTGCCTCTGAGTAGACTCCAACCTTTCTGTTACAACCAAGTACACTAACTGCACGCATCTCAGTAAATCTCAGCTAATTCAGATGGGCTGGGAAGAACAAGGTTCAGAATTTATTCTTCAGATGCAGGGCCTGAGGCTACCATTAGTCTGGTCCTTCCATATCCCTGTTTACCCCAACTCTGGGCATCCAACGAAGCATTATTTGTTGACCAAAATAAAACATTCAAAATTGTTACATGCTATTATCTTGACTTCACCGCTTATATCCAATCGCACCTCTAATTGGCTGCTATCTCCCACGTCTCCCCCTCCACGGCCCCCATCCTGGTCCCTTCCATCATTGTCTGCCCCTTAACCATCACAGTAGTCCTCTCACTATCTCTGCTCCCAGTGATCCCACACCCTCTGTCCCCTCTACACATAGCTAGAGGGAGCCTATGAACACTGACTGAGTCAGGCCCGGTCCCACCCCTGCTCAGAGCACTCCCATGGCTCCATTTCTCAGGGAGGAGTTCAGACAATGACTTGCAAGGCCCCATGGGCTCTGCTTGGCACCTCTCTGCCCTCATCTCCTATTAAGCCTTGCTTCTTCCCCTCCAAACACTCAAGCTTCCTTGTTGTTCCTCAGACTTATGGGGCACACTCCTCCCGCGGTTGTTACCTTTACCTGCAATGCTCTTAGTAACGAAACTCCCTTACCTGCCTCAGGTCTTTATTAAAATGTCCACTCCTCCGTCTAAAAATTCCTATCACCCAGCCCTATTGATCTACTATCTTTTCCTTAGGGTGTATAACATTTCTAGCATATGATTTAATTTACTTATTGTCTCCCTCACTTACATGAAGGCCTTCCAAAAGTTCATGGAAAAATGAAATGAAAAGATAACGGAATTTGTCCGTGAACTTTTTGAAGCCCCCTTGTACAGTTCACAGAGCAACTCCCTGGGACTATTCTGCTATTCTCTTCACTGCTTTATCCCCAGCACTTAGAATGGGCACTGGAATAGAGTATGCGCAATAAATGTTTGAAGTGGGCATCAGAAAGTCCTCGGGAAACTCAGTTTTCTTTTCATTTTTCCATGAACTTTTAGAAGCTCCCTTGTATGTGCTGAGTGACTAAATATACAGAACTCAGTTGGAGGGTCTGCTTGAGGAGAGGAGAGATGAGCTAGGAAACGGGTTTGGTGGCTTAGGAAACTGAGTGGAAGGTCACGCCCATGCTGATGAACACAGCTGAGATTTTGCCACAACTGTTTCTTGGAGGTGATAGCCCATGCCCTTTACTGATAACAAGGCTGTGTTTTGGACCCCCGTCTTCCCCACCACCACAAAAACACACTTTAGCTTGCACAGTGATAACAATATTGATGTCACAGACTGGTTGAGAATCAGTATCAGGAAGATAAATGTTGGGATGCCTCCTCCCCTCAAGTCTGGGGCCTGAGCATCTAATCCAAGGGACAAGCAGCTGGAAAACTGGGCTCCAGGATCTGGGGTTGGCCCTCCTTGCACTCCTGATGAAGAGTAATCATGAATTAGAGGTAGGTTTCAGCATGAAGCAAAACTGGGAAACCTAAGATGGTTGGTGCTAGAAGGGGGGGCGGGGGGAGGCGGTGAGTGGGAGCATGGACCTCCTGACAGTCCCCAACGTTTCACAAGCAGGTCCCACAGCGACCATACAGCTGATTCCCCATCCCATTTCTTCCTAAACAAGGTAGGTCAGGAATGGAGCTCCCTTCCCTACCACCACCAGCAAGGAAGGAGGGAGACTGAGACAGGAAAGGGGAATGGAAACCCCTCAGCTCTGGTGGGCCTGACAGTAATGAAAGCTAGACTGAGTCGGAGTGGGAGGGACACCCCCCTATTCTTGCACCCATCCCTGGTTGGGAGAGCTGAATCTCACAGGTTCCAGGTGTAATAAGTAGTTACTCATTTAAAGGAAGAGAGGACTTTATCCCTCAGACCCCCTTGCTCTGTCCCTTAAACCCTCATGTGGCCATCCAGGCCTGGGGCCTAAAGAAGAGGAAGTGGGCATTTCTACTCCCAGATGCAGGGCTCAAACACATACTGTCCCTGCTCCAAGGCTTTGACACCACCACCACCACCACCCCCCCCCCTGCTATACAGAAACGTCCAAATCACCACTCTGGGGAAGAGACTGTAGCAATCTCTTTCTCCAAGAGGCATGGAAACAGCCTTTCAAAGTTTCCAGAGCAAGGAAGCTTTGAAAGGGCAGAACATAAAAGGAAGGCTTGAGTTAAAGCAGAGGATGGGATTGGAGGAGGGTCTGCAAAGCTGGGGTGTCAGGGGTCCAAACAGAGCCATAACTACCTGAAGAGGTACCTGTGTGCAAACTAGAGACAGGCAACTCTTCCTGTGAAGGCAGAGTTTGGCAAGCAGCGTGTGGTGTGAATTCCAGTTCCAATGACCATTTCTGCTATACCTTTACCTTTGGACAGATGAGGCGATGCTGGAGTCTAGATAGGAGTCAAGGAGCTTCCTTCCAGGTGGTCCTAGAATCTGATGATTGATGGGTTTTAAATGGATCTTTTTACCCTTAGAGGAAAGAGGTAATTCTGAAGGGTTCTGAAGGCTTGGGCTAGGTTCTTTTGGCACCAGAATTGAGACCTGAGTGTCTCAAGGGTAGGTCTGAATGGCAGGGTACAAGGAAGGGGTCTCCAAGGCCCACATGTTAGGCCAGGGGAGTTAGGCATAGAGACATCCCTAGGCTTCATCATGCTTGAGAGATTTGAATACCAGTAAATCTGAGGTCTGAGGATACAGGGGTCTTGGGGCTTTGGGGTGGGATTCCCAGGGCACCCTAGATCTGATGTCACTGATACGGAGGAACCAAGACCTTACATCAGTTGAATCCCAATGTCATGGAGTCTTGGCTTTTGCATCTTGGAGGTCACTGGTACCTTGGAGTCTTGAAACCAGTACGTCTAAACTACCTTGGGGTCACCCAGGGACTGGGAGCCATAGAGTCCAAGGTCTGGGGTGTCATGGCCATCCCATCTTCTGTGGGTTCTTCTCCCAGCTTTTAGGAGTTTGGTGATCTATGAATATAATGTAATCACTGATTCCAGGGCATTAGGTCTTGAAACATAGATTCAAGAATATTTAAAGTTTGGGGAATGATATCTTTGGTCCTAAATTGTGAGTGGCCTTCAGTCCTACCTGGCTTGAGGGTAGGTGGGTCTACAGAAGTCTTCCCTGGCTTGCAGAGCAACTTGACATTTGACATTTGGATCTTGGGTGGGGGATTCCAGAGGGCGGGGTCTGTCAACTCTTTGTGACCAGAAAACATCTCATGTTTGAGCATATTCAAGGACTCAGGGAATTGTAAAACTGCTCTAGGGAGCCTGGAGTTCTTTGGACATCTTAGATCTGGGTGTTGCTGGGGTCTGTGGGATCTTAGGAACAGAATCTATTCTTGAACACTGTGAAATCTCAAATCCAGGAAGGTTGCAGTCTCAGGAGCCCTAGGGTTATGAGGACATCTCAGACATGCGTGCCCAGGCCTTAGGTGACCAGAGACCATTGTTGGTGTTTCTGCCATTTTCCAGATCTGGAAGTAATTGGATTCCAAGCAGTCCCTATTCTGGAACCCTGTAATCTGAAGGTTCATGGTTCCAGGTGGGATTAGATTTGTATTGGTAATTTAGACAAGAAGGTCAAGGTGCTAGGTCTTGGAAGTCTCTGTGAGCTCCTCGGCATGTCAAAAATGTAGCAACTGGGAAGGCCTGGTGTCTCAGTTCTCCAGAACGGCTATAACAGAAATGCCACAAACGGCTGGCTTTAACAAACAACTTTATTTTCTCACAGTTTAGGAGGCGAGAAGTCCGATTTCAGGGAAGGCTTTCTCTCGGTTGGCTCTGGAGGAGGGTCCTTGTCTCTTTGTCTCCTGGGTGGTCCTCTTATGGCTTGACAACTCTCTTCCTCCATCTCCGCTTGCATCCAGTCATCTCTTGTATAGCTCAAAAGAGATGGATTTAAACACACCCTTACACTAATCCAGTCTCATTAACATAACAAAGACAACCCATTCTCAAATGGGTTTATAACCACAGGCATAGAGGTTAGGATTTACAACACTTATTTTTGGGGGACACAACACCTGGATTCCCCTCAGTCTGGGCCATGGGTAGGGGTGCCAGAACTCAGGATGCCTGGGACCTCTTGCTCAGACATCCCAAAAAAGCTGGGTCTGGGATTTCTCAGTCCTAGATTTGGGTTCCAGGTTCTAGGTCTAGGGTCTCTCGAACCAAACCCAAACTCCCAAGTGTCAGATGTGCCTCGGTTTGGGTTTTGGGTCCACATGAAGTCGGGTGTTCAGGACCCTCTCAACTTTGGGTCCTCAGTCCGGCTACAGGGGACCCACCATGCCGTCCTCACCGCGCAGCTTCCTCGTGGCGACCCCCGCAGCCGGCACAGCCGTACCGTGTGGCGACCCAGTGGCATGCGCGGAGCGGTGCATAACAGCAGAGGCAGGGCACAGCGAGCGACAGGGCAGCCAGCGCGGCCCATCGTGCAGCGGGGCGCGGGTGGCCTGGTTCACAGGCGCACGGGTCCGAGAAGTCGCCCTCGGCGTCCGACAGACAGTGGTAGAGCAAGCTCTCGGCACACCAGAGGCAGCTGAGACGACGCACCAGGAGGCGACCTGGGTCTGGAGCCTCAGCACAGCGGCCCCCACGGCCATCCGCACGGCGGCGGAAGAGCGCCCGGCAATGCACGCAGCGCGCAGCCTCATCTGCCTCTGGCGAGGCCTTGGCAGGTGCAGGTGCAGGGCCCAGACCTGGGGGTGGGCGTGCTGGGGGCGCTGGAGGCGAAGCCTCGGTTAGAGCGGCCGGGAGGGCAGTGGAGGGCCCAAGGGCTGCACCCCGCAAGGTGCCGGTCTTGGCAAAGCGCACCACACAGGTGGACAGGGCGAGGGGCGGGGGTGGACCAGCGCGCCGGTAATCCTCGTAGCCTCGACCAGCCCAGCCTGGGCCCCCAGGGCCGGCCAGGGGCTCTGAAGATTCTGGAATCCCAGTGAAAGGTACGAGTGGCGGGTAACTCTGCAAGGCAAATTGTCAAGGAAAAGTAGCAATTCCCCGTGGCTCCGAGCAGTCCGTCCCAGATCCAAGAGACCCAAGAAAATGCACAGGCCTCACTCATTCAGGGATGCCGTCTCTAACGTTCTTGGGTCCCAGCCTCGGTTTCTAAGCGCCCCCCCACCCCCACCTCCCGAGATCCATAGCCCGCTGCTTTCTCAGGGATGAGGAATCCAGACATCAAGATCTCACTTGAAGGCTCCCAGCCCTGTCCACCTCAAGATCGAACGGTTCTAGTACCCAGCACCCTCTAATCTCAGACCCAGGAATCCAGACCCTTTGACCCTTTTCTTACACACTACTGTGAATTACGAAGTATGAAAACCCCTTCCATGTTTACCCTCCTAATATGGAGGAATTAAGTTATCAAGTTGTCCCATAAATCTCTCTTGAATCCAGACTCTGAATTCCCTGAGTGGAAGGAATGCTAGCCGCCCCCACCCAGCCCTCTGAGGAACCCAGGCCACCAACCCTTTCTCCCCACCCTAGCAGCCTATCTGTTAGGGTAGTCAAGCCCCTAAGGTGTCTTTTCTCTCACCCCCTTAGGAGTCCCAGTGCCCCACCTCACTCCCCAGGTGAGTCTGACTGCCACAGACTCCCCCTGGGGGCAGAGATCTCCCACCTGAGCCAAGGAGCAGCGGAGTTGAGGGGGTGTGGCCGTCCCAAAGGCAGAAGCTGACTCCGAGGTGCTGATGGTGGCTGCCCCAGCGGCGGGAGGCGTCTCTTGGCGGCTGTGACTGGAGGAGTCACTGTCCACGTGGGACTGGGGGAGATTGGCAACCTCAGCCCTTGGGACCCTGATGTGCTCAGACACAACCAATGCCATCACATAACCCCCTCCCATTGAGAACCTGGGCTCTGTCACTGACAGGCTGTGGGACCTTCATGGGAGAAGGTGTGCCTCTCTTTTTCCTTCATTATAAGATGGGATCATAATAGTGTCTATTCATAAGGATATGTCAGTTATTATTGTTAAGTTAGTTCTGACTCATTGCAACCCTGTATAGGGTGTCTGAGGAGTGACTGGTGGGTTTGAACCACTGATCAAGTGGTTAGCAGTTCAGTGCTGATCCTACAAGTGCCACCAAGATATGGTGGTGATTATTGTTACTAAATGGAGCTCTGGTAGCGTAGTGGTTACGAATCGGGCTGCGAACCTTAAGGTCAGCGGTTCGAAACTACCAGCCGCTC